AAAGCAGCATGTTCATTTTTACAGGTGAGCCAGGCTGGAAGTAAGAAAAAGTTGTGGTCAAGGATTCTTGCAACACTGGACAAACAAGCAATTTTGGCAGAGACAGAGTTAGCTGCAGTGGCTTTGGATGAGACGCAACGCAGAGCAAATCCTGTGCACACTGCAAACCCTCCAGAGGATCCTGCTGAGATTGATGCGCATAACCTTACGCATCTTCCTTACCAACCATGGTGCCCAGCTTGTGTGATGGCCAAAGGAAAACCAGAACAACATCGATCAGACCCTTCGAAATTGGTGCGCAGAGAATTTCCTATCATTTCTTGGGACTTTTGTTATACTGGTAAGAGCTGTGAAAGCTTGACAGAGAAATCAGAGCAATCGAAGTTGACTGCATTGGTTGTACATGATTCTCACACTGGTGCAGTGCATTGCATTCCAGTACAACACAAAAGCCAGACGAAATACATGAGCCAAGAAATCATGCGCTTCATTACTTTTTTGGGTCACAGTGTGGTGATGCTGAGATGTGATCAGGAGCCTTCAACGCTTCAAATCCAAAGACTTGTGCAACGAGCTCGACAACGCCTCAACCTACGTACAGTTGTCGAGGATGCCAAGGTTGGAGATCATGGAAGTAATGCTGCAGTTGAAAAGGCAATTGACAGAATCAGGAATCAGGCATCAGTTTTCCTTCATGCTCTAACGATGAACATTGGATTTCAGATTTTGCCACAACATCCTTTGTTTGCTTGGGCGTTTACACATGCTGGATGGACGTTGACGCGCTTCACAGTCAAGGCTGGCACAACACCTTTTGAGTTGATAGCTGGACATGGGTACAATTCAAAACTATGTGCATATGGATGTCCTGTCATGGTTTTCATTGGTGACACAACGCAGCAGAAGGGTGATGCCAAGTGGCAACGTGGAATCTTTCTTACAAAGACATTGTCCAATGACATGTACTTGACAGCGGTTGGTGGAACACTCAGACTTTCTCGATCAATCAAAATGCTGTATCCAAATTGGAGTGAACACTTGGAAGAGTACAGGCAGGTACTTACATATCCATGGCAGTTGGAAGGTGCAATTGGCAGTCGCACATTCCCAATTGTGCGCAATGAACTTGTGACACCTTCTGCAATTCCAGGTGTTGATGATGAAGCAGCAGAGGAACCCGAGGACGAAGTGTTACCACCACCAGTCATTGCTGATTTGATTCCAGTTGCTGAAGATAGACGTAGAATGGCACCTCCTCCTACAGCTGTGGCTAGTGCACCAGCAACCACTCCTCCAACTCCAAACATTGCTCAACTTGAAGCTGCAGAACAAATAGATTTGGAAGGTAACGGTGTCGAGCAGGCGGGGGTACCTGCACCAAGTTTGGGAGTTCGTGGTCCAACCACACCAGGTATGGAATCACCAATGGATGTTGGAATGGAAGCTGAACCATCAACTTTGAGTGAGCCTGAAGCAAAACGTGCAAGATTTTCAGCTTTGCGTGTTGGAGCTGAGACCTTAATGCATGTGGATGAGGATTCCAGTGAACTTTTGCAGCAGTGTGGTGACGGTGATTTTTCATTTGCAACAGGTGATTCAGTTGAGTCTTTTGACATTTGGTATGATGATGATTCAAGTGCTGGACGTGAGATGACTGAAGACGACTTGTGGCAACCGCAGAGTGCTTTGGAGCCACAACTGGATTCTGAACGTTTGCAACGCATTGATGATTTTGCAGATTCAGTTGAGATTGACAGACTGCTTAGTATGAAGGTGATACAATGGAAGGACAACTACAATGGTGAGCTTGGTACAGAACTCAGTGCCAAATTTGTACGGTCATGGAGAAAGAAAACAAGGAAAGTTTTTGCAGAGGATGGGAAACTCATTTCTGAAACTCCTGGCTGGCTACGCCGTTCCAGACTGGTGGCCAGAGAATTCAATTGGTTGGATGTGCGAGATGATGTTTACAGCCCATCTTCAAGCAGCTCAGTCGTAAAGATCCTCCCAGCTCTTGCATTGTCAGATGGCTTTGCACCCAACAGCGTTTTAGGCACACTGGATGTGGCAGATGCTTTTCTCCAAGTTCCCCAACCAATGCCGAGAGTGGTAAAACTTGGGTCCATGGAACTGGTGATTTTGATGTGCCTTCCCGGGCAACGGGATGCTGCAAAACTTTGGTATCAATACTTTGTTGACACGTTGAAAACCTTGTTCAAAGCAGAAGTTTGCATTGAACAACCTTGCGTGCTGAAGGTTGACAACAAAGCTGCAATGGTTTTACACGTTGATGATGTGCTATTCATGGGTGATGAAGGTTGGATAAATTCTTGCTTTCTTCCTGAGCTGGAGAAAAGGTTCAAGCTGAGTTCCACAGTGGTAAGCCGTGCAACTGGTGGTACTTTTGAATTTCTCAAGCGTTACCATGTGGTTGATGCTGGGTATACTCAGATCACAGTGTATCCTGAAGCAAAGCATGTTTGTGCGATGTATGAAAAGTTTGCTGAAGCCAATGGACGACCAGCAAAGTTGGCAAAGACACCGTGCTCTCCTGGAAACCCTGCAAATGATCCAAAACTGGATGAGCTGCTTCCTCAGAAAATGGCTGAAGTTTTCAGAAGCCTTGTGGGCATAGCAATGTATGTGAGTCAAGAGCGCTTTGATTTGCAATACGCAACAAAGACATTGGCCTCATCTCTCAAGCAACCCACACGACGTGCTTGGTGTGATCTAGCCCGTCTTGTCGGCTACATGAAATACAGTGAGAATTTTGCTTTGAGGATGAAAAAGACGCAGCGGGGGTCCACTTTTCAGCAAGTATTGCATGGTGGTGAAAGTGAAAGTGAAAGTGATTTGAATTGCATTGAAACGTACACGGATTCAGACTGGTCAGGCAGATCCACATCGTCAGCTGTGCATTTGATCAATGGACTGGTTGTTTGGTCAACTTCTAGGACACAGAAATGCGTATCCCTTAGCTCAACAGAGGCTGAATGGTATGCAGCCACATCAGCGGCATGTGATTCACTATTTCTCCATCACGTGATTAGCTTTCTCACCAATCAGAAGGTCAAACCAATCACGTTGCATACAGATAATGCTGCTGTCAGAATGCTTTCAAAGAAATTGGGAGCTGGACGTCTCAGACATATTCATGGACGTTTGCTTTGGCTGCAGGAAAAGACTGGGTCTTCCGAGATGATCCTCAAACAGGTGAAGACCAATTACAACTTGGCTGATTTGAACACCAAGAGCCTCAACAGGGATCGCTTCAACAGTTTACTTTTTCTTCTTGGTTTTGTTGTTGATGATGAACCAGTTGGTGAACATGAATTTTCACGTATGGAATCCAAAGAACTTCTCAAACAGCAAGTCAAGATGATCCGTGAGACAATGGACACTGGAATAGACAATGTTTCATGTTCCAAGTCAAACAGATTTGCAAAGCAGTTTCTTAGGGTTCTCTCCATTTGCAGCCTTGTAGGGATGGCCGATGGATTTTCACTTCGTGGTATTGCATCACGAACATTCGAAGCCTTGGGTCAGTGGCACGATGCTTTGAGCCCAATCCATGCTTTGATATTTACAGTATTCTTCGTCATGGCCATGCTCTATGTGGTATTTATGTTTCCTGGATCAGGCATGAACAGAAGCCGATCGAGGTCCAATGATGGAGATATTGAACCTGGAAGTGAACCGCCTCCGAGCAGATATCCTATGAATCCTCGAAGTCTTGGAGCCCGATACCCAGGACTATTTGAAAGCAGTTCATTTAGGCCAGAAGGGATTCTTTATTGGATGTTTGATCGATGCCACAAACGTGTGGTGAGAGGCAATAGAATGATGACAAACAATGAAAGGAAGTCCGGTTTGCAGGACATGCTGAAACTTTGTGTGCGTGGTCTTTCAGCAGATGAGCAGCGCAATATGGCTGACAATCTTGCATCGTTGACAGACCTCACTGATGATGAGTTTTCCCCACGTGCTCATTTGACAGAGTCAATGGTGATTCAGCAATGTGCACAGATGGACCGGAAACCATTGAAGAGAAACGTCACAGGTACAGTTTCTTGGAGCGCCATGAGGTATCTGATGGTGAGCTGTGGCAGCAATGGCACGACGAAGCCATGATGCGAGTCAATGGGGAACAGCTACTTCAAGCTTCCCATCGACTTGATTTCCGTGAGTATCTCGAGGACATTGGAGATGCTGAGAGAAATGAACCACCGCAGTAGGTTAACCTGATCCTACTGGGTGAGGCATAGCTGCAGCAAGCTAACTTGATCTTGCTGAGCTCAAAAGATTTCCACTTTGCAGAAGGAGTCAGACATGAGCTAACCTGATCTCATGTTGACCGTTTCACATAGCAATGTTTCAGAGTGATACAAGCTGTTGTTTTGCAATAACAAATCCAAGGCCCGTATGCATTGGGACATACACGATGTCCTCTTGGATTTTGGTTTGAACTAGTCTGTGTTTTACCGTAGGTAATTTCACTCTAGTTTGGGATATGAGTGAACAACCACTCAAGACCCAAAGGCGGGGTATAGAGATGTGAACAGTGCACTCAACCCCATATACATAGCCATGTGTAACAGTTTGCTAGTTGAAAACTACTCCAAACTGGAACAGACAGTTTGTGCAGAAACCAAATGCATGCAAGAAGCATGGACCAATACGTGCGCAATTTCCGCAGGCTTTGTGGTTACAAAAGATGTTTTTAAATACCTATCTAATCTATTCTAATCTAACATCAGTTCATGCAGCTTCGGCACCTAACAGTTCAACGTCATTTCTAGTCCAATCCCTCATATCATTTATACCCTACTAAGATTCCACCCCCCTCAATGGATGGATCCAACACTAAATGTTTCTTTTGGTGCCAGTATGTGTAAGATTGCGTATGTATTTCCAGGATAAGGGCTTACTTCCGCAAGTTTCACGCCGGCGATGGCATCCCATGGCCATCCCATGGCCAATGCCTGCCATCCCAGTGGCCCAGGACACATGTGCGATCTGATTGGTGTTCCCATCATGGCCAGCCTCGAAGGCTTCTTACCATCGCCTCGATGGGAATATGCCAGCTTGGTATCGAAGAACTCGAAATTTTGCCCAATGGGAATATGGTTCTGTAAACAACAGCAAACATGATGTGTGGCGTGTTCACATCATTTCACATCCATCTAATTTACCATAATGACCCAGTTTGTTGGATGAAATCAGTACAGATGGACCATCCTTGTTTGGCGCCAAATTGGATATGTTGATCGCTTTGAATCTATATTGTACAAACATGTACATCACATAGTTTTTATGTGTTTATCAAAAGCGCATAATCGTTTATCAATATGTATTTATCATTATTTATCATATGTTTTCCTGATCATGTTTTAAAACAAAATAATGCTCATTGAATGATCTTATATGTTTCTTCAGAACCTGGATGTTTTTTGAAGAGTTCAGTGGGGATGAGTCAACATTTGCTAAGGTGGTCGATGAAACCACCACATCGGCAAGTCGCAAAGTGCTGGTGTGATATTATGTCAATAGTTTGAATTGGTATGGATTTATAAAATGAAACAAGTGTTTTTCAATTTAAATGATGAGAATAAATCTGAACCAGTTTTTTCCAGCTGGTTTGGTTGTTGTGGTTTGGTATGGTTTTGGTAAATATGAATCATAAGAAATCAGATTCCAGGTGACCAAAACCAGCCAAAAGATGTGACCAATTCTTCGCTGGTAGATTTTCCGCTCAATCGGAGGCAAAGCAATTTGGATTTGTCAGAACATTTAGTGGAACCCACCCAAATTTCATGATTTATCAGTTTATCAGCATGTTCCCCATGTAAGAATGGTTATTTGGATCCTACTGTCCACCCCTTTTGCAGACAAATCCCTATTTGAATCATGTTCGGATCCAGTTCTTCATCGAGGCTTCATTCTGTTAGCTCCACAGCAGAAGCTCTGCAGAATTACCCTGGTGGGCGAATCAGAGATGCACCGTGGTCGGTTTCTTCCTGTGTGGAATCTTGACGCGGTTAGTTTGGGAGCGGGGACAATAACCGACAAAAGGCAAGCAGTTCAAGGGAAACGCTGATAAATGGATAGATATACAATACATATTATGTACATAACTGCATATTATATCATATTATATGTATTCAAAATATGTATATTTATGTAATTATCTATCAAAAATGATGCGTATATATATGATAAGATGGGCACAGATCTGCAAATATGGAATTGAAGATGGTTTCCTATTGTGGTGGGGTGCACTCCTCTACAAAGTTACCAATGGGACATATGCCTACGCTCCATGCAGATCCATCATGGTTCATTTGTTTCGTGATCCTGAAAAGGTTCAGATTTCAAAAAAAGGGCATTATTTTTTTCGGCCTTGTTGGAAAATTATAAATTGCAGTAATCTCAATGTTGTCAGAGCCATTTTTTGGCAGCAAAGGCCCGGACAAAACCCATCAGTATTGTCAGCCATTCTGGAGATTCTCGCGATGGATGCAAGAATTGAATGATTAACAATTCAGATTGCAACCACCGACACAGAACTGCAATCATCCACACACACATATATATATATATACATTAATTATGATCGATATTATGCATATTATTTATAAGTATTATATATATATAGTGGATTAATTGGGCTATAGGCTATATTTAATCCATTGACATCCAACAACTACTCATGGCTACGGCGCTTCAGGGATCACCCCATTCGCGGTGCTTTTCTGCCGAGGAAGGAGTTGGCACTGAAGGCCCTGTCCGCTTCCGAGTCAGGGCAGGCACCGGATGCGTTGGCTGTCCAGAACGTGACCTTCCTTGGCGTCGGCCATGGGGAGGTGGTGGACTTTCTGGCTACGGCGCGGCAGCGGCTGGGAAGCAACAGCAAATAACACGCCTTGTGCCCTTCATGCAGATTGAAGCATCAGCAATGGATTGGTTCAAGGGAAACATCTGAACCAGGAAACCCTGTTTTTTCCCCATGAAATATGTGTGTTTTTTCTGTAAGATGTTCCTTAGACCAATCCACTCACATCAGCAATGATGAAACATGCCGAAACGTACCCTTCCAGCTGCCATAGCTATCTTCCCATCCAGCTCCCAGGCTTGAAGTCTCGGCTTCACCGCAAGAGCAGCGAATGCAGGAAGCCATGGATTTTGCATTCTTTTCACCGGCCGAAGTACAGCAAGCCCATGCGAAAATTGAAAACGCCGGTTGCATGAGGAATTGACAAAAACAGGGGGATCATCCCAGTAGCCATGAAACTGTGGAACCTTGGAGAACTCAAAATGATGATTTTCCAAGATCAAACGAGAAGAACTCAATAAACCAGACCAGTTTTTGAATACCAAACGAGGCTCAAGTTTGAGACCAATCCCCTGGCAGCTGGTAGAAAGTACTTGGCCGAAGCATGGCGACCTGATGATCCAAGATGGGGGGACGAAAAACTGTGCGAAGCCACCATACTTTGGCCGAATTTGTCAGGACCAGTTGCTTGCCTTTTAGCATCCTCGAAGTAGCACAGAGAAAAACTGCCGCAAGATGTGGGGGTCCTGGAGATTTGTTGGATATTTGTTTTTTGCTTTTCTCACCATTCTCACCACATCAGGTATTTCAAGAAACCAATGAATTGAATGTGATTGGTTTGCTATTCACAAACGCTGAACTGTCATTCCAACTATGGTTGATGTTCACTGGAATTCAATGACCCAACTAATTATGTTATTGGAATTCATCATGACCATGTTTTTTTTTAATAGGTCTTAATTGGGAAATCATCCATAAATATCCCATAAATATCTATAATTTGTTTTGCTATTATATACAATTCCAATTCTTGATGTTTGACGCCGATAGTGGCAGGCAAGCTGCCACCTTTGTTGTTTTTTAACCCAGCCGATCCGAGGGACCCCGAAGTGGATGGTTTATAGTGGAACATCCTATTAAATGGATGATTTGGGGGTACCACCCATTTTGGGAAACCTCCAAACATGTAAAAAACTAGATGATATATTATAGATGATGACATTTGATTCCATACACATAACTACTGATTGTCTCATTCACGTATCATAATAATGATTGAGTTCCGAACAGTAGTAGTTGTTGGGTTTCAATCTCTTGGTCTGGAAGTGGTGCGCATTTTGTCAACGTTCAACCCCGAAAACGGAACTCTGAAACCCTCGAACCCTGGAACCTCCTGTTGGATTGCTGGCTGCTGGGTTAATTGATGTCCAATCACTCTTGTAACAGGAAGTCCATGATCCAATTTGGATCTAATTTGGTTAAGATATCTCATGTTCCACAGTTCAACCTATATATATTACCATATATTACCCATATTTCCCATATGTTCAACTCATATTACCCATATGAACCATGCATAACCGTTAGCGGTCCTTCAGACTCACCGTCGCCAGGGACCGGGGTGTGGTGAAGCTGAAGGCCAAAGGCAGCTGAGCAGCCAGCCATCGTGATTCGAGCAGCAAGGAGGGTGATTTTTTGTCCAACATACCCTCTGGTAATTTAACAGTTTGCTATTGAAAATGGCCATAGAAATAGTGGATTTTCCCATGAATAGCATGGTGATTTTCAATAGTTATGTTAGTTTACCAGAGGGTAATGATTATCAATGTTGGATATCAATGTTTATCAAACATGTTTATCAATGGTTATCAACGTAAACATGTTTATAACTGTTTCTCGATGATTATCCAACAAAAGTGAGATCAGAGCAGCAGACAGGATGATTTTATCCAACAAACTATTGTTGATCCAACAAAAGTCCCACAAAAACTGGGAAGTGGGGCCGTGGGGTTCAGAAAAAACACTTCAAACGCGGAGTTTTCCTGTTTAAGCAAGAAAATCAAGGGATAACCAAGATGAATATAGAAATAGACAGTATCCAACTGGTTTGCTGAACAAACTGGGAGGGTAAACGGGTAAACCATATTGTTCAGATATAAGTGTTATAGATATCTATAGGTACAGCAGGTCATTGACCTGGTGACGGTGTTGATATTTCCCTCTCTATGTTGGGAGAACAGTCCCCAGATTGAGGGGTAGAGTTGAAGCCACAAAATAGTCGTGGTGTGTGTGTGTTATTGGTGACAAAGAATCAGCTGGTCAGCTGGTGGTGAATGCTGCCATGAATTGCGAGCGTTGGACCGATGACGCCAAAAAAAGACATGGCAGCAGAATACTGCGGTTGTGAAGAAACAGGATGGAACAGGTTTTTAGTTTGAGTTTGTACTTCGGGTGATATGACCCAGCATTGGTCAATCAGCTTGTAGATAGGTTGTAGATGCACTGTATGTGTAAACATCTTATATATACACTTGTATATATATATATTATATTGTTGTAGATAGATTCAGATAGATATGACATTTTCCAAGATATTCCCATATTTCGGTGAGGATCTCTTGATATTTCCATTTTAGATTATATCAGCTCTTTTTTGGATGACCCGATATACATCGCCGGCACATGCTTTGGGCTGTTGGTGAAACGAGTGCTTTGGCGGTCTTTTGGCTCGCTGGAAGAGCTTGTGCGGCGACAAAGATGAGATCCAACATGATCCAACTTTTTTTTGGACCAATAATTTCATCAACATATCCTCTATCACAGCCGATCTGGATGTTGTGAGCCCTGCCTGCAAGGTTTCTGTGAATCTCACGTTGAGCATTGTGCGTCGCCATGCCGCAAGCTAACGTGGTTGGGAGTTGGGAACCAGTAAGTCCTGTCGTTGCTCGGTTGGAGGCGGTCGGTGTGTTTTTTGTGCCAGGGTGAATCTGTGTATGGTTAGCCATAATCCTACAGATACCTGATGTACAAGGCCCGTAGATATCAGAAAGTCTCATGTAAGGCATCCCTAGGCTCCCATGTTTCCCATACAGTAAATTTGGGTTCTATTTTGGCAATCCACCTGGATTTCCGAAAGGGTTCGGTTGCAGATAGTGGCCCCTGCATTTTGCTACGTTTCCACAATGGAGGGTTTTAAGCATTGTTTGGCTATAACAGCTATGTGTTTTGCATGTTGGGCAAACTAGAAGAATGAAGGTTTGGAAAGAACATGATTTTAACGTGATTCCAAAAGCGCTTTATTTCAATACATCCTTAAGCATATCATCATTGCAAAGGAAAACGACTCTGGATTCCTCACAGCCTCTACCGGATCATCCGCGGCGACGATCTGCTTTGGATATGGTGCAATCGTGGCCATTAAACGGTGGATGATTTGGGGCATCCAACTCATAGTCACTTATGATCAATGGTGGTATACTTATGATCAAGGGTATATGATCAATGGTATATGATCAATGGTTTGCCAAAAGAAAGGACTATTTTGGGACCAAACAAAACACCGAAGATGAAGCCAGGAGGTTTCGCCATTTTTGGTTTGTCGGTCTGCGGAAATCTGCTGCCTTTTTCCTAGGCTTCTTGGGACTTTGATGACAAGCAGGGCTTTCACTTCCCTGGTCGCGAGCTTCGGGCACCTCAGCAGGAATGATGAAAAATTGATACGTTCCCCCATTCATGGGGCATCCAAAGTATAGTGAATATAATATGTTAGTGAATGACTATTATAGTGAATTATTATACAACTAATATATGATATTCACTATAGCTATTTGAATGATATATTAGTTGTATATTCAAAAATAACCGAACTTTATAGTGAATGACTGAAAATACACCCCAAGATAAATACACTATAGAATGAATAAGTATTAATAAACCCAAAGTAGAATGACCACATATTATATTAGTAAACCCAAACTACAGTGAATGATAAACTTAAACTATAGCTGCTTGGTTCTGTCAACATGTTTCAAGTGCATGGGTGGTGTTCCTCTATATTTGGTGTGATGATCAAACCCGATGAGTATTTGCTAAGAGTGGTTGGATGACCCCACAGGAAAGTTCACATGAAACTCAAAAAGCATGCCTTTAGATTACACGAAGCTTGCAAAGCATGCCATTTTAAGAAGGAAAAAACACTTCCAACGCCTGTTTTGCTGGGTAAAACATGATACCTCATGATAAACCTGTGTCAACATCATGTCACATGCGTTTATCCGTGTTCATCCTGAAATTCAGCAGCTGGTAGCCTGGTAGCCCAGGAAAGCGTGTACAGTCGCTTGATCCCTCAACAATGGTCTTGGCGTATCGTGTGCGTCGCATCCATCCTTCTCGTGGTGTTCCTGGGCACGGTGGCGTCATGGGCCGCCGCCATGGCCCATGATTGTTTTTATATCTTTATGACTTATGATGGCTTATGTGATCATCTTTAACATATCATATGAGAATGTATATGAATTTTCCTGTATAATGAAATATTATATATATATAGTGTCAAAATTCCATAAAGTCCCTGACTATTCGGCACACAGAAATTACAATGATCCATAAATTGATGCCTTCGATGAATTGATGTGCCATCCCGCGGGGACAACGTGCCTCAAATGTTGCCATTTTCATGCGGCATTCATGGGAAGAAAATTTGGAATCACCGGGGTTTCCCAATGACCAGATATGGTATATAGTAATGTATATATATATAATATCATTTTTTATTTAAATGATGGCTATGTAAATTATAGCTACCTTGCAACGGCCTCACCATACATGATGGTTGTACAGTAAGAGGATGTAAGATGTGTATGAATGATTGCTACGTGTCCCTATGTTTCAGGATAAACTCCATTGTTTCCCCCAATTTGACCCCCAATCCATTGTCATCCATGGAGTCCTAGAATTTATGGGAAAAATTACAGGAACCCCGTATATTTGAAGGCCAGAACATGTAAAAACCATGCTTTCCTGTGGACTTTCCCTTAAAGCAACCCAATCTCCATTGAGGTTGGTCTTATCAGGAAAACTGTGGGAGTCATCTGGAACAGTGGCTCTGACCGATCGGGAAGTCATGGCAATGTGGCGGCACACCACAAAGTTTAACCCCAGCCAGATTCCAAATGCGAGCTACGAGACTACTCCGTGGGTCCCTGGACTCTTGAGTGGGTCGCAGTGTCAAACCGTTGTGGGCTGATGAGTGATGAGTTCGGGGGTTGTACATTATCCGTCATTATCCGGCATTATTATCTCAGATACATATGTGTGAATTATGATATATATATATACAGGGGATTGTGGGAATTCCCAGAAACTAACGAGTATAATCCGGGATGAGGTTCTGAGTCTTCAGAGTCAGCTTAAACTTGTCAGATAAATGTCACAGATGCTCTTCGCAGGTTGACAACCATTGGGTTTGTCCAAA